TATGAGATTTATGACTACCTTACATGCCATCCCAGAGCCTTCATCCAGTAACTGATGGAAGCAGAAGCAGACCCTCACAGCTAAACACTGAACTGAACTCCTGGAATCCAGTTGGAGACAGGGAGGATGGATGAGCAAAGGGGTCAAGACCACGCTGAAGATACCCATAAAAACAGCTGATGTGAACAAGTGGGAGTCATAAATGATATGACAGACTTAGAAGATTCCCCATGGAAGGCCTCAGCCTCCCTAGGTAGCAGAAAGGGGATGTTATAGGGGGGTCAGTTGGGGGACCAGGGGAAGAGGGGAGAGAGAGGGAACTGGAATTGACATGTAAAACAAGCTTGTTTCTAATTTAAATTAAAAAAATAAATTAAAAAAAAAGGAATACCCGTTCAGACACCCTCTCCACTATTGCTAGGAGTCTTAGTGTGGTCATCCTTGTGGATTCCTGAGAATTTCTGTAGCACCAGGTTTCTTGTAACCCCATAATGGCTCCCTGTATCTAAATACCTTTCATTGCTCTACCACTCCATTCCTCTCCGAACTCAGTCTTCTTGATCCCTCATGTTCCCATCCCCTTTCTCCCCCCCCCCCATCTCAGTTACCCAGGAGATCTTAACTATTTTTCCTTCATAGGGTCCTCCATGTGTGTCCCTCTTAGGGTCCCCATTTTTAACCTGGCTTCTCTGGGGTTGTGACTTGTAGCCTGGTTATCCTTTGCTTTATATCTATTATCCTTATTTCACATTCAATTCATTACTACAACTGAAAAGTGGTGGTGGGGTTTCAAACTTTGCTTCTTAAAGTAAAGTGTGAGTAGTGACCTATTCTCACACTTCCTTGAGTATGCAACTGTTATTGGAGTTAGGATTAGTTTGGAGCGGTGTCCCTGGCAGCTCTAAGAAGCCAGGTTTGGTTACACATATTCAATAAGCCAAATATTGCCAAATTAATAGTAAAAACCAGGAAAGGAAATTTATTCCAATGTAGTCACTTAGGAAGAGGGACAAAGAGATTAGTGATCCCTAAATCTATTTTCAAGGTCCTGCCATGAGATTAGAGTTTAAGAAGGCCAGAATTAAGCATGACCTAGCACTCCTAGTCAGAATCCCATCTTTAATCCACAGTCCTCATGGCTCCAGTCTCTCCTGTAAGACGGTCTGAAGACTTGTCAAAATTCTGTGAAATTCCCTTGCAGGCATCAGGCTTCACCCATTCTGTCTTCCAACAGGAGACTCTAGGAGGAAATTCTAGTTCTCTGGAGCACCTTGTTTCATTGTCTGATAGCCCAAGGGAACAACTCAAGTGTCACTCTAGAATGTTCTCCTTCCTTTTAGGCTTGCATGACAGCCACATGAATTTTGTACACGGGTGTTATTTTAGGTTATTACATGAGAGATGAAGAGAACACTGGTCCTAAGGTAAGACATGTCTGTTGTCATAGAGTTTACTAGCCAGGGAGGACAGTGGTGCTTCTCAGAGCAGACTGACTGGCTGTGTCTGATTGTTTAATGACTTCTGACAGCCCCTCTTGGGAACTACTTCCTCTAGAAAGGATTCTGCAAGCATGGCATCAGTTGCATATTTAGGCCCTTGGGGATTTGTTACTGGGGTCTTCTGTTTTAGTGAGCAACTGCTCATGTGTAGGGACGAAATGACGGATCAGTCCATGAGAAGTTTCTTCTGAGAGGTGAGGTGGGACCACATTGTCCTAGCATTGTGAGGCTCACAACTTCCTCGCATTCTTCTTTTTTACCACTGATGTGTGTTGCTAGTTGGTTTTTATTTATTTACCCATTTTATTTTTATATTTTTGAGATTATACTATGATTACAATATTTCTCCCTTCCCCTTCCTCCCTCCAAACCCATAAGAGCCTTCATGTTCTCCTTCAAGTTCATGACCTCTTTTTTCACTAATTGTTATTGCATGCATATATGTGTGTTCATATACATAGATATTCCTAAATATAGCATATTAAGTCTGTATAATGCTACTTGTATGTATGTTTTCAGTACTGGCAGGTTGGCACCGGATGACCAGTTGGTGTGCTCATCCCTAGGGAAGATCACTTCTTCCACTCCTAGCTTCGCCCAGTTGCCTACAGTTCTTTTTGTAGGGTTGAGACCTCCCATTTCTGTTTTCCTCATGTGTTTATGATTTATTAAAGCTTGCCTGAGGATTCAGAAAGCCAAGGCAGCCACAAGCCATAGAACCCAGGCACACACCTTTAATCCCAGCAGCCAGAAGCTAAGAGGTGACAGCACACACCTTTAAACCTAGGACTTGGGATTAAGAGGTAGATTAATCTCTGTGAGTCCAAGGCTACTCAGATGCACACAAGGCTGATTCAGTCCTAAAAAGAAACACCTCACACAAAGATGATCTCAGCACCTGGGATCACACGCCTTTAATCCCAGCATTAGGGAGGCATATGAGACAGGAGCGAGGAGTCAGTATCAGGATAGGAAGGCATTCAGTCTCAGGATTCTCCAACCACGCTGAGGAGAGGCAGCAGGATGAGTCCTTTCAGCCTGAGGTAGTGGTAAGAGCTAGTGGCTGCTACTTTGCCTTTCTGACCTTCAGCTTGAAATTTGAACCCAGTATCAGTCTCTGTTTGTTTTGAAGCAGAGTTTCCCTGTGTAGCCCTGGCTTGACTATCCTGGAACTCTCTGTGTAGACTAGACTGGCTTCAAACTCAGGGATTCACCTGTCTCTGCCTCCTAAGGGCTGAGATTAAAGGCGTGTGCTGACATTGCCCAGCCTGGGAATGACTCATCCTTCTTGTTTTTTGTTTTGTTTTGAGACATGATGTCCCTGTGTAACAGCCCTGGCTGCCCTGGAACTCAATCTACAGACCATGCTGGCCTTAAACTCAGAGAGATCCACTTGTCTCTGCCTCCTGAATGCTGGGAGGATTAAGGGTATGAGCCACCATTGCCTGCTTGAAACTGATTCTTAGGCCTGCCTTGGGGAGTCTCTTAGTCAGGGAAGCTGAGGAAAATTAAGCATCCTTTCTCAGGAAGGTTGGTAGGGTGATCTCACCGGCACAGTGGGGGAAGGATACTTTTCATTATGTGAGGTCAAAGGTCACCCAAGGGTGGTCAGCTTCCTTTTCCCCCTCTACTCCTCCTTAGCCTGGAAGGGGGATTGGTAACACTCCCAATGAAGGGCTTCCTCTTTGCAGGCCCAGTGGTAGCAGCATTGGAGTCTCTCTTTAGATTCAGAGCCTCTTAGTCTCAGACAGCACCCAGGCCTGGAAACTGGCTCCACTCACAGTTCACTTTCTCTGTGCAGTAGACCAAAGAGAATGCTGGGAAGGCATCCAATGTAGTCAACACACACATTCCCATTTAAAAGAAAACAATGTACCTAGGGCTAGGGATGTAGCTCAGAGGCTGAGTGCCTGCCTAGTACATGCAACCCTGGATTTGTTCCCCAGTTCTGCAAAAATAGCTAAAACTAACCCTTAGCAAGCTAAGAGAAAAAAGGGGTGTTCAAAGCATCTCTTATGTTGCTCTCTATGTTAGAATATAACTCAATTTTGGACATATGCCACACTTTCTTTGTCTATTCATCTGTTGATGGACACCGAGCCTGACTCCATAACTTAGCTATTATGAATGTTTACACAATAGGTGTGGATATGCAAATAGTAGGCTTCTAATCAGGAAAGATGTAACAATGAATTCTCAATGGTCAAATATTAGAAGTTTTCCTGGGACACATTAGGAGAATATATTCATATATATATATGTTTGATATTCTCCAGTGGATCCATGCACATCCATGCACACATGGGCAGCACTAAATGAATTTAGTGGCTTAAGAAGAAGAGGAGGGGGTTTAAAAGAAGATGAGGAGAGATATGAAATTGGAAGGTAGATCAAGAGTTGAAAGAGGGAAATGAGGATGGGTGTCATCATATTTTATTACATACACATGAGATTCTAAAATTATACACACACACACACATATATATATATATCACATATGTAATTATGTATGTGAACAGAAAACATATCATTATTTGTAAATGCAATGATATATGTGTAAAACATAAAAGAGTCACCTGTATTGAAAGTATTAAGGAAAAATAAGAATCTAAAAAACTGGTTAGTTATAAGATCAATTAAAAAATCATGTTTTCCCTGAAACCAGCAATATCTCACTAAAAATGTGTCCAAAAGCAATATAGTAACAATAACAAGTAATGCTATAAAAAAATAGGCCTGATACAAAAGTGTGGCAATGTCCACTTTTAGAGCTTTAGACTGTTGATTTATAAAACTAGCAATATATGTTTCTTTTTCTTGCTTTTTGATATCAGGAAACCCTCAACAGCTTGTATGTTGGGTCCTAAGCACACAGAGTAGATGGATCAGCACAGCAGTTAATGTTCATGAAGCTGTACGTAACATTACTCCATCTGGCCTTGTCCTGGGCTTCCTTTCATGCAAGAAAAGATGGAAATGCAGGGACAGTGTCAGAATGTGGAAGAACAGGAGCTTTCTGGAGATATGGTGTGCAGACGGCTGTCCCCCTAAGGCATACTTACGCCACCACAGATACCTGCAGTGTGGGTCATGGTCCCATTCCACGTAGCTGAGACTAGAGAGGGTCACATAATCCCCTTCATGCATTTGAGACTGGGATGACTCATAGAAACCTGCATCTCGTGTCTCATCCTCACTCACAGCATAGTAGGAGCCATCCAGATGGCTGAGTAGGGGTGGAAAAGATGATGGCGCCCCTCACCATGAGCCACATGGGCTCAGACCTGGAGTTATTTTGACACCAGCCATCAGCATTGATGCCATGGTCTTCCAGATACCTCTTTAGTACCAATGCCCCAATTTGGTTCTCTAGTATCATGTAAAGACTAAATTATATCTGATAACAAACGTTATCAGTGATTATCAAAGTACTTGGTATGCTGCTTGTGATCAACAGTCTGCTGTAGTAATTGACATGGGTAATATTTTTGGTAGGTAGAGTACTTGTAGTAATTACTTTATTTCCAAACCATAGATGAAGACATAGGCTCAAAGAAAACAGTTATCCCCAGGGATATCCGGAATACAACCTAACATGTGGAACAGCATTGATTTTAACAAAGTAGCTGACTGAGAGGAGAAAGCAATGCAGTTAGCGAGAGGCATGCCTCCGTGATATGAAGTGGAGTGAGGTTGTGTCCAACAGCAGGAAATTACCAGAGTTAGTGTCTGGGGTGGAAGGGTGCTTCTCTTAAAATCCAGGGAGGCTACGGTTAGGTTAAGAGGCTAAATTGGCATTTTCAGATCTAAGGGGGCTATACACTGTCAACCAGGGAAGTTGGGTACCATCAGAACTATGCCGTGGTGCTCCCTACCCAGCTTCCTGACTTCTGTGAGACCATGTTTGTATTGAAAGCATGGATGCAAATGACACTGAATGTAGCTTAGCTCCACACACCAGGCATTTCCCAGAAGTCCCCTATGTCAATCTTTATGTTTAGCCTGGACTTCTAAATCTTGAGGCAGTGAAAGTGTGATCTGTCAGATAAAAAGGGCAGGGGGCAGGCTCTTTTGTGTAATTTAGAGGGTCCTTCCATGCTGGGACCTCATGTACACCATTTATAAATGAAGAAACAGGACAAGGTGAGGAAAAAGGAAGTCTCCATTTCATGGTGAAGGGCAAGGTTGTCAGTGGCTGCCTTGAGTGAATGCTCAGAAAGGACTCCAGGGGACTTTCAGGATGTTCTAATATGTGTGGAGAAGAGTTTGGGGCTCATGTGGGAGATGGAATGTCTAAGAATGGTGCCAATCCTATTAGCCACAAAGAAATTTGGTTGAAGGGAGTTGCAGCATCCCACAGATCAGATGGATCATCGGGATAGAGGCTAAAAGACAATGCAGGGACTTTATCTATTTATCTAAGTGCTTGATCAAAATTCACAAATGGCCAGCCGGTACTGCAGGCAATTCTTGTCATTCCATCGGCCGTTTGTATACATTTCTACACATTTCTCTTTGCCTCTACCCCTGGGCTCTCCTGCATACCAGTTGGTGTAGTTCACAGGAGCCCCATCCAGGTACCGGAAGTCTCCAGGGGTCTGGTCTTCAACCATGCCCAAGTAGGCATAGGTGTTGTGCTTGTTCACAATGCTTGAGATGGCCTCGTTCTCCTCTGGACTCCTTGGGACAGCAATGTTGCCACCTGCTCTGGCACATGTCTCTCTAATGGTATCAAAGTTGACTGACTGCCCATTGGTGGAGAAGACTTTCTCTCCCACTGACAACATGGATCCGTGCAAGCTGAGGACTGAGCAGAGGAGCCTGGGTTAGGCCACTGCCATTTGGTTGTCCCTCCCCTCCATTGACTTAGGCTCTAGCCCTTAAGATTTCTCCATAATCTCTCCACCTCTGCCTTTCTGTGTGTTTCTCCTCCTTCTTCCAGACCTAGTTTTAAAGTCTATCTCTGTGTTATCATATACCTAACAATTACTTATTGCCAGAATCTGCAGTTTCATGCTTTCCAGTAATTCTGTGAGCAAATCCAAGCCCACTTCTGTGTCCTTGAGGTTATTTGAAGACAGGAGAAAAGGAAAGCATCATTCCTTTCTCCAAAGCCCACGTCCACACTTACTTGCCAGGCATTTAGACTGTGGAGTATGGTGCTGGAGATTACAAGGAAACATTGAGAAGTCTGTGCTTGGTGACACTCCAAATAGTCCCCTTACCTCCCATCATCTGCAGAATCTTATGTCTTATCTCTTGGAGTTCCATCTGAAGTTCCTCATCCAGGTAAGCTGGAAACCCTGTGGAGACCCCACACATTCAGGGTGGGGGCAAGCCAGAAAAGAGCTCCACTTGCTATGAAGCAGGTCTTCTGCCAGCTACAAGACTGGAGTTCTGTCATCCAATGCTGTGCCCAGAGCCCAGACCCTAGTTAAAGGGTTCAGGAGCAGAGCTTCCATATGCCTACACACCCATTTCTTAATGTAGCCTTGAACCCACTCTAGCCTTGATCCCTTGGCTGCCCCTGCATGCTGACTTATGAGAATGACTCCATCCTGTTCACTCTACCAAGACCAACAATGATGACCTCTGAACTCTCCTGATGGTCACTACACTGACCCATACCCTGGAACTTCTGTCAGCAAGTGGAATTCCTGATCATACTGTCTGCCTTGATTGCAAGTTCGTAGAACCCTGCATACCTTGTAAGATACCCCAGAAAATTCTCTCTAAAAAGGACCCCTAGGTCCCCGAGTGCTGCCCCCTTCCCCTACAGGACACTATGTGTCTCTCTGTCTGCAGCCATGATGCTTGTCACTCTCGGAAATGTGTTATTCAAACCCCTATGGTTTCTCTGGTCACCTTCCTATTTTCTGACTTAGGTTGAGCAATATGCTTTGGACCCTCCCTACCACGCCTCATATGGCTGCCATGCTGTACCGCATCACCACTGACTACTGCTCCCCAGTCCTGCTCACCTGGAAGGCCCCTCTCTCCAGGCTCTCCTTTATCTCCACGTTCTCCAGGTGCACCAGGGGCTCCAGGCAGCCCATCACGCCCAGGAAGACCTGGCATACCTCCGGGGGGACCCATGGGACCTACAGAGTGAAGAGAACACAGATATAAGGTCCTGCATTCACATGTGGGTGACTCACTTGCCTCTCCACCAGAACTTTGAAGACACATGCTCCAGCCTAAGGACTCCAGAAAAGTCCCATCAGCTAGTGCCCTGAATAGGACAGCTCTCCTGAAAACAGGTCCCTGTCCCTGTGCTAAGTGTGGGTTCTTCCATACAGTACCTGGAGGTCCAGGGTCTCCTTTGACACCATCTCTCCCATCTCTGCCAGGCAGGCCGTGGCTTCCAGGAGTGCCGGGGATACCAGGGCTTCCGGCACACACTTCTGTCCCATTGCACTTGATCCCAGCCACAACAGTCAAGAGGAGAGCGAAGGCCAAAGAACACAGTGACATGGCCACTGGACCAGTGGCTTCTCCTGCAGGAGGGAGGGGCCCCCAGCACATCTGTAGCATCAGCATGGCTCTCCTCTGCCTCCCACCCCCTTCTTGCTCCACTTTCCAGGACCCAGGAACATGACAGACAGGCAAGTGCAGTCAACAGTACCAAGAAGACCCAAACTATCCCCAGTGGGAAATCCCCAGCGTCATCCATGTCTAACACAGTCTCACACTCCAGCCCTCCATCTTCAGATAATCCCTGATGAGAGTGGGGGAGCTCAGGAGAGTCTTGAGAGAGAGGCTTGAGTCTTCCCACAGACTCACTGCTGTTATAACTTCACTGTGGAGCCCCGGCAGACTCACTCACTGCCTCTCTGACCTTAGCTGACCCTCGTGTGCTCTGTAGATAATCCTAACAGTGTTGTCTGCTAGAAAGTGTGTGTAGAAGATGTAAACTCACCACTTTACTCCATCTGTCCGCCAATATATTAAGTAACTCTGTTTTGGGTACTCAGGAATCAGAGAAGCAAGGATAAACAGAGATGAGCAGGGTTCATGGTCCTGCTAAAATGTGAGCAGTAAACAGTACCTTCCTGACCAGTCAGCCATTAATTAGGTATGTGATCTTACCTCCAGAAACCCAAACACCAGAGGATACCCAAGGCCTGGTGACGAAGCTCACGAGCACACAGAGCCTGCAGGTTGTACGGACGTCTGCCTCCAGATGGACATGTGGACAGCATCACTTATAGACGTGTAGGCTGCAAGCTTTCCCCACCCTCTGAGACCCTATCACAAGGGAGGGCCTGGCAGGAAGCAGCCATCTTGTTTACACAGAGCACTTCACAAGAAAAGCACTTAGAACTCTTGAGGGGAGCACAGAATCTGCAGAAGGCAAACTGCAGGTGTGTGGGAAGGGACTCCTTCTCTTGTCAAGGTCACCCCTGTATTCTGAATTAACACCATTGGCTAACAGTATAGAATGAAAGCTTTTACCCAGGCTCTGATGAAGATCCACCACCACTCAGAAAAGAAACAAATCACCAGAACAAACCGGATACGGAAATATGAGAAAGTCTAGCCACTCTACCAACCAATGGCCATAGGAAAGAAAGCAGAGAGGAAATTATGATGTTGGAAATTAATAAAGGTATCAGGACTAAATATCAAGGAGATTAAATAAAGGAGGATCTAGGAAATGAAAAACAAAACATGGTTAAATAAAATAATGTGGGGTAGGGAGGGGAAGGAAGAGGAGAGAAGGGGAAGGAAACAGACCAAGACAAAAAAAATCTATTTACAAAACAAAAAACACACAAAATTGCATAAAGGTAAGAAGGGGAGTGAAAGAATTTAAAATGTGTTTCAGAATAAAATTAAGTGTAAAGCAGGGGCTGAAAGTGTGGGCCAGTGAGTGGAGAGCTTGCTGTGTGATGCTGAGACGGCAGCCAGGAGGGCCCAGGGTCACTTTGTAGTTCCCGCTGTCTTCTGTCCAGATACAAAGTGGATACAGGAGCGCCTCCTGAATCTCACTCGTCAGCTAGCCTGGGGTGCACAGTGGCAACCCGGCCTTGTATGAAACAAGGCAGAAGGTGAGGGCTGACACTGGAGGTCATCCTCCAGCCTCCGTGTGTGCAGACCAGAAGGTGAGGGCTGACACCAGAGGTCATCCTCCAGCCTCCATGTGTGCAACTCTGGAAGGTGAGGGCTGACACTGGAGGTCATCCTCCAGCCTCCGTGTGTGCAGGACCAGAAGGTGAGGGCTGACACTAGAGGTCATCCTCCAGCCTCCATGTGTGCAATTCTGGAAGGTGAGGGCTGACACCAGAGGTCATCCTCCGGCCTCTGAGTGTGCAGGACCAGAAGTTGAGGGCTGACACTAGAGGTCATCCTCCAGCCTCCGTGTATGCAGGACCAGAAGGTGAGGGCTGACACTAGAGGTCATCCTCCAGCCTCCACATGTGTGCAGCTCCGGAAGGTGAGGGCTGACACTAGAGGTCATCCTCCAGCCTCCGTGTGTGCAGCTCTGGAAATTGAGGGCTGACACAAAAGGTCATCCTCCAGCCTCCGTGTGTGCAGCTCCACATACATATTCCCACTCACACACATGGACGTGCAAAGATATAGAAGCAGCCATTTACACGTGAAAAGGGATCCATCACCTTGTCAAGCACAGAAATACGAAGTAACAAGCAAAAAGAAGGCCATCATGTGCTGAGCACAGGAAGAAACTTTCTAGCTCAGGTACTTCTAGTTGAATGGAAAATGGCACAATGGTTTTGGAAGACACCGTGGGAGCTCCTCGGAATATCAAACAAGTGACTACTCTTATGCTGCAGCAATTCAGTTTCTAGCTTTAGACCTAAAATAGTTGGTAACAGGCATTCCAAAAATTGTACACAGCTGTTCAGATCAAAAGGAATAAATAGTCCCAGCATTTATTCATGACTCACTGATGAGCAAACGGAATGAGATGGCACCTTACTTAGCCATAAGAAAGGATGGATATAAGGATATGTGCTATGGTATGGATAAACTTAAAAGCATTTTTGCCAAATGAAAGGCACAAAAAAACAATATGTGGAATTATTCTAATCATATTAAAAGTTGAAAGTAGGCAAGTCACGCAGACAGAAAGTGTTCATTGCTAGTGAGTAAGGGATAGAGGAACTGAGAGTGACTGTTTAATATAGGGCATCTTTGGGGGAAAGAAAAATATTCTGGAATTAATTTTTAAATCAATATGGCAGTTTCACAAAAAATTGGGGATCAATCTACCTCAAGATCCAGCTATACCACTCCTGCACATATAGCCAAAGGTTGCTCAACTACACCACAAGGACACTTGCTCATCTGTGTTCATAGCAGTTTTATTCATAAGAGGCAGAACCCGGAAATAACCCTCAACTGAAGAATGGATAAAGAAGATGTGGTACATTTATACAGTGGAGTACTACCCAGCTGTGAAAAACAATGACATCATGAAATTTGAAGGCAAATGGATGGAACTAGAAAAAAATCATCCTAAGTGAGGTAACCCAGACCCAGAAAAACAAACATGGAATGTACTCACTTGTAAGTGGATATTAGCTGTACAGTAAAGGATAGCCATGTGACAATCCACCTACCAAGAGAGGCTAGGTAACAAGGAGGGCCCAAGAGGGGACACATGGATCTCCCTGGAAAGGGGAAATAGAAGAGATCTCCTGAGTGGGCTGGGGGATGGTGAGGATGGGAACATGAGGGATGAGGTTGGGGTGGAGGGTTGGAGGAGGAGAGTACTGAAAGAGATGACAGGAAATGGGGAGGGCATCTCAGATTCGAATAGAAACCTGGTACAAGGGCAACTCCCAGGAATCTATAAGAGACCCCAGCGAAAACTCCTAGCTTGCTGCTGCCTGCCGTGTGCTTACTCTATCTGGCGTGGTGTAATTACTGTGTGAAAGGGTCCCACTGTGTCTAGTATAGTGTGATTGTTTCTTGGGAAAATCCCACTCCTCACTGTGCATTTACTCACAGATCATAGTGAAGATGATTTTTATGAGAACAATGATGACTAGATCTATGATTCAACTGGACTTTCTGAGTTAGTCTAAAAGATACAGGTGTTTAGGACAGTTAATAAAGATGATTAGGGACATGATTTAGGTTATTCTGTGAATTGTTCCAATAAGAGACACAAAAATGGCAAAAAATAGACTAGAAGCTACCTTCCCTTTTGTTAGATATTAGATTTGCAGAGGACGGAAAATAAGAACAGGTAAGTATTTCATGCATTACAGACCCATGGACTGTTCCTGTGGAACAATAGGCTGATGATCAAAGAAATCAATTATGTCCCTACACCCAAGGTTAGGCCTGAGTTCCTTGATCATGTAACTTACAGAATTAATCACAGGCCCCTGTATGTACCTTGAAAAAACAAAGTCGGCAAAGGAAATTCAATGATCCTATTGTGAGTACAGGAAAATGGTGAACTGACCACTTATTTAAAGTTTCTCTGGAGCAGGGTTAAGAATAGAAATCTGTTACACTGAAATAGCAATCGGCTGGCTGCCAGGAGAAAAGGAACAGGCTCAAACACACTTAGTTTGCTTAAAACTTGGCTAATCAAGTATAAAAGAATCATGGTTTTGAGGTGAAGATGCTATGGTGGGAAAATTACTACAAAGAAAAATGTTCAACTACTTGTGGGCTTCTGAGGAAAGCATGTGACTTGTGATCTTCCTGTGTAAAGATTTGAATTTGCTTTTGGGAAATATGTAACTTGTGGTCATGAGGTAATCTTTCATGAGGTAATCTTTTCTTGCATACAAATCTTTGTCCTGGGTCCTATAAAAGGGATAAGAGAAAAATAAAAGGTTTAGTAAAAAGGATAATGTCAGGAAAGATGCAAAAGGAGGACAACTGAAAAGAAAGAAAAACAGGGCAGAAGAACAGAACAGAGAAGGAAGAGCAACCCTCCTGGAGAAAAATAAAACGGAGAATTAAGCTTTGTCCCTCAGATAAGTGTGTGTCTGTGCAGCTATTCCAATAGTTCACCTATCCACATCTCCACTCCAGTCTCTCTGACCTGCTGAGAGCCTGCTGGAGGCTGGGCCCCCTAGATGCAGTAGCCTACCAATGACTGGTCCAGTCTGATACCCATGTCTGAGAGTGAGCCCATGTCTGACGCTGCCTGGGGTGCTAGAAACCAGAGGCTGGATGACCCACAGACACAGGATAGAACCAAGTACGACTGGAAAGAAAAAAGTGTCAGCATAATAATGCCTAACGACATTCTGCTTTACTAACAGATTGGTGACTACCCCAATTGTCATCAGAGAGCCTTCATCCAGTAACTGATGGAAACAGATGCAGGGACCCAGAGCCAAACATTAAGCCAAGCTCAGGAAAACCTGCTGAAGAGAGGGAAGAAAGATTGTACAAGCCAAAGGGTCAAGAACATCACAAGAAAACCCACAGGAGTGGGAGGAGGGGAGGGAGAGGGAGCAACCTTGTTTCTAATTTAAATAAAAATAAATTAAAACAAAAAATATTCAGGAATTAGATAATGGTAGTGACTCATGTAAAACTTACTTACAAATGATGAAGTTCATAAAATGTATATTAATCCATTTTTTGTTTCTATAAGAAAATACTTAATCCCAGATAAACGCATTTAAAAAGATGTTTATTTAGCTAAGCAATATCTTACCTATTGTGGCAACTCAAACATGTAATCCTGGTCCCCGGAAGGCTGACAGGGTAGCTACATGGGAAGCTCAAGGGAAGTCTGGACTACAGAATGGGTTCCTGTCTCAAAAAGCAAGCAAGCAAACACGCAAACAAAGAACCTACAAACAAAAAGTGTCAGATGTCAATGAACTAAATATTTCTGTTAAAATAGATGTTGTTCGGTGGCACGCACCTATAATGCTGGCTACCTAGGCATCTGGGACAGGAGGATAGCAAACTCAAAGCTTGCCTGGGCTGCAGAGTGAGTTCAAGACCAGCCTGGGCAACTTAGTGAGAGAGTACCTGAAAAAAAAATAAGAAGAGTGGAAAGAGGGGTTCTGGGTTGCAGGTGTGATAGATCACTTACCTCCACGTGTGACCACCTCCAGAGAAAGCAAGAACCCAGCACGGAGTCGCTGTGTCCTTTGGTGTTCTTTCTGGGGAGTAACACCGTGGCACTGTTTGTGTCACGGGGTCCCTAGCCACTCTCAAGTCGACTGTGGTCAAGGTGGACAAGGCAGTGCTTGGACAGGGGGATTATAAATCTCTAGGATGCCACAGCATTTGCCACCAAGGGGATACGGGCTGGTGTCCTTACGCAGAAATACTCGGAGCCCCCATAGAGACTTCTTTTCTAAGCCTGTGACTCTCTTCTACTTCAGACCCTAAAATAACTGTTCTAAGATCAGTAGATCCTAATTCCAGCCGCTATTTCTAACATTGGAGGGGTGGGAAGCCATCATTCCCCCTCTGCCATCATAAGCACCGGGCTTTAGTACCCCAAAGCAGGCGGGGGAGGGGGGGGACAGAAAGCACACATACGACAGAATTTACCTCCGCATTGTTACTTGTTGATCATAGTAACCTTACAACAGGCCTCGGTGATTACATTTGTAAAACACATGATTACATTTGTAAAATTAATGATGGCATTTGTAAAAATAGATAGTTTTTAGCTGATCCTTGCTGCAAGCATTGCATGAAATAGCATTTTGTGTTTGGTCCTGCTGCTTAATAAAGGACTCTCTCAACAAAGGAGAAAAGCAGAGCATTATACGGGACAGGAGGATTCTGGGGCACAGGCACACTAAGGCCTCCAAGAGCCCTGGGTGGATGGATAGGAAAAGTAAATACATCAGTTACACGGGCTCATCCTCTCTTCTGGAATGAACAGAACTTTCCTCGGGTGTTGTGTGGGTCAGCTCTGCCCTCTGCTGGCTGCATAAAAAACTGCAGCCAACTGAAGGGCTGTAGGGACCACTTCATCGGGTCCCACATCCACAAGGGGGTGCTTTGACTCAGGAGGTGGGGTTACTTCACTCAGCCTTCTAGCGAATTTCTCTCCCACCTCTACTATCCTTCCACCTAGTCTGGAGGCAGAATCTTTGTTCTTGTGTGTCTCCCTCTGTCAGGTCTCTTCCGGCTGCCTGTGCATCTATCTCTGTTCCCCCACAGAGGGCAGATCGGAGCTGTGCACCTGGAGAAGCCTAAGGGAAAAACACTATACACTCTTGTGAGGCACTGGCTGCTAGATTCTAGAGAGTACTAGATACTAGACAGTCCCTTTGCATATTCTCTGACTCACCTTCCAGCAGTATCTGTCTATTCCCTGAAACACAGGAGGGCACTGAGCCTCAATAGACTTCCCAGAGACCACACAGCCTGCCTGTTCTGAAGCCTGGTTCACATCTGGCTTGGCCTGTCTCTGAAGCTCTATTTAGGTTTTCCAGGAGACTCCAGTGCTGGCGCTGTCTGTCCACAATTACCAAAGCCTTGAGGCAGGCTCAGATCAATCTTTCAATCTACAGGGCTGATCCTGACTAAGCCTCAGGTCTCAAAGTACCCACCAAGTCACTGTAGCATGAGTTCTAATAGATTTTAATAATAAGAGCCTGAAGTCAGATATAGGGGTAAATGCTGAGAGATCATAGAGACGAAGGAGCAAGCCACAGCCACACCTTACCTCACTAAGTCCCCAGTCAGAAAGGCACTAACTCCTGTCTCCTCCTGCCTTATCACTTCCTCTCTCTGGCAGACATATCACTTCCTCTCTCTCTGCCCAGACAGATCACTTCCTGTCTCTCTGTACAGACCTTCAGACCTCTATGGTTAGCTAGTGGCTAGCTCCGCCCTCTGATCTTCAGGCAAGCTTTATTTGTTAGAGCACAAACAAGGTATCACTCCATGTCACCTAGGAGCTCTGCTCTTTTCTTTTGTGTGTGTGCACACAGCGCTCACATGCTTCACCTTGCTCCAGCCAGGCTCCTGCACTCAACAGCACTCACAAGTTTTGGTCCTGAGGTTACAGACACCACAAGCTCCTTTTGGGCTAGCCGGAAGCTCTCAGGATGTGACCATATGGATGGCGGTGGTGTCTAGGCAGGCTCTTGTGGCCCAGATGCTCTGATGAAGTGGAGAAGGCCTGAAGAACTCCAAAGACTGCTTACGTTCTCCTTCCATGAAAAGCTGAGCTCAACCCCAACCATGGACAGTATCCTGATGGCCGTGGGGTAAGAACCCTGCTAAAGTCAGTCCCCTGGACCCTCATCACATACACATACACTCCACAGAGTCAACCTGATCCAATCACGATGGAATCAAATTATGGAAAGCTACAAAGAGCCTCTTGTGTTCTCTTCACTAAGCCATCTGAAAGCAGGAGCCTAGAATGTTCTGGGAGGCTGAGCTGCATCATATTTAGAGCCATCCCTATTAACAGTCAGCTAGTTAAAACTAATGACTCGTGTATTCTGGAAATTATAATGTGGATAAGTTAAATGGTCACAAGTTATTAAATTCTATAAATTTATAATAGTGCTGGCATGCAATTTGAGAAAAAAATATACTTTCCTGTTTAGTTAATTAAAACGAAACTATTTTTAACTAGTAACATATATTGTTAATTCACAAAACATGTTTGAAGGAAAGTGAGAAATTACACAATACCTCACATGGAGCAGTGATTTGGCCCAGTAAGACCTTCCTAAGCCTCAAATTATCAAACTCAAAGCAGTATTCCTCATAGTATTGGCTTCCAAAGACAATCCACGTCCTGAGCCCACTCTCAGCCTCCTCTGCTTCTTCTATAGAGCTGCTTGGGTTTTCTGACCACTTGACACAAACTAGTATCATCTGGGAAGAAGAAACCTCAGCTGGGGAAAATGCTTCCATCTGATTGCTTTTAGGTACGCCTTTGGGTATTTTCTCGACTAACAATTGCTGTGGGAGGTCCCAGCTATTGGTGGGTGGGTATCCTGGTTTGTATGAGAAAGTAGGCTGAGCCAGGCACGATGAACAAGCCAGTAAGCAGCGTGCGTGTAAGCAGCGTGCCCCCGGGACTTCAGTTCCTTCTTCCGGGTTTCTGCCCTGACTCCCTTAATGACAGATTACAACTGTAAGGTGAAAAAAGCCCTTTTCTCACTACGTTGCTTTTGGCCGTGGTGTTTTATCAAAGTGATAGAAAACAGACATCCATATATTGCTACAATCTTGACTTTTGAGAGCTCCATAGCTCAAAAGTATATTCTCTTTCTTACTTTCTTTTTGCATGTGTCTCTGTGTGTGGTGTGCACGTGAATATGCATATCCTTATGTGTGTATGCCTATGTGCACAGACAAGTAGAGATTGGCATTGGGAATCTTCCACAATCACTCTCAAGCTTATTTCTTAAGGCAAGATCTCTCAGTTGAACTCAGGGCTTGTTGCTAGAGTCTAGCTGGCCATTTTGATCTGGGGGAATCCCCTGCCCCCACCTTCTGAGAGCAGGAATTATAGGTGGGCTGCCACCTAGAACCTCGGTTCTGGGGATCTGTTGAGTCAACTCTTTCTTCTTTTATTGTTTGAGAATGTCATACATGCATGTAATGTATTTTGATCAAATCCACTCATTGTCCTCTCCTTTAATTTCCTAGTGGTGCTTACTTAGTGCTGCCCATATTTGTGTGGGTATAGGACCATCTACTGGAGCCTCTCAGGGCTTGCATCCCTGAAGACAACGGGCTCCTCCCTTCCCAGCATCACCAATCACCAATTGCCAACTGGACAGGTGGTAGAAGCTGAAATTTTGAGCTCTTCTTTTAGTAGTGATTTTCCATTCATAAACTTTTCTCCCACAAATATGCATCCTCAGATGTTTCATGGGGGTCTCGCTGCTCAGAGATTGTTGCAGACTGTGTCACTTTTCTGTGAGGTGACTATCCCCTAGACTTTAGGGCCTAAGGGATGCTCTAGATATAGAGCCAGGCACATACAAGACCTGCGACCACCTGTCTTTGGCTGTTGCCTCTCTCCTCTCCTCTCCCCTCCTTCCCTCTCCTCTCCTCTTCTCTCTTCTCATTAGGCCTGGAACTTAGCTACATCCAGTCCTTCCGGGTACCCAGGGGATGGGAATGAAGAAAAATATATACCTGCCCTCAGCCTGCATGAGCGCACACATCCAAAAATCGATTCCTTCCCCAACACATCCTCCTAGGAAATTGCATAGGTCTCAGCCCCCCACACAGCTCCTTCAACAAAGCCTCATGGTTTGATGACTCCAGGAGGAATGACTAAGTATCTCAATCTCAGAGGGACATGGAGCATCTAATTCAGTGCTGGTCAGCAGGAAAACATTAGTTCAAGGGGTTGGGAGAGGTTCCCTAAAGGTCGAGGTTGGGGTAATGCTGAAAACGGTATCCAGATTGTCTGGGAGGTGAGAGAGTCAGAACTGCTTCACAGTAAAGCAGCTCAGGTTTTGAAAACAAAAAGCAAACAAACAAACAAACAAACAACAAAACAAGCACAGTGGGGCCGAGGTCTCTTCATGGATACATGTGCTTGCTATATAAGCGTTACAACTTGAGTTCCCGTCGTTATCACTCATCTAAATAAGCTGTGTGTAGCCGTGTGCACATGTGTAACTCCAGCATGGTGGAGAGGGTGAAGACAAGAGGGTCACCAGGGCTTGCAGGCCACCAGCCTAGCTCCAGGTTTGGTGAGAGACTGTGTCTCAAGGGAATAAAGCAGAATATGATGGAGCAGGACACCCACACACACACACACACAGCACAGAGTCCTTGCTCCTTGAGTTTGAGTTTTTATTCACCATACTATCAGGTACTAGTAACAAATATTAGCTTTGTTTCATATGAAACATTGAAAAAAAAAAAAGAGTCTCATGAGTCTGAGGGTTAGGGGAAGTATATAATTCTGGATTTTTATTCAGACATAGCTAAAGTTACAGGAACTCAGCCATCTGCACACACATCCTTCCGTCTGCTATGAGGCACTTTGCTCCAGGCAGCCAGGAACCCTACGGAGAGACCCAAGCTTCTATGCCACACACAGCTCCAGGGATCTTTGGCCATTAGGACTTTCCCCCTGCTATTCCTCACCTTGGTTGGAAGGGAAAACCTGGGCTCTTTGTGGTCCAGGCAAGGTACAGATGCAAGGCATCTGGTCCTTGATAATGCTGCTGAGTCAGCACTGTGAGCCAGCACTGTGAGCCAGCTCCCTTCCTGAACCCGTGTCCCTGGGAGCTGGCAGAGGGTCTGCTGTGGGGAGGCCCCAGCTAGGGAGAGGTTGGATGGGTGGTACTGGTCATGATGGGACCCCATAGGAACATATAGTTTCCAGGACCCTGGTAGACAGACGCACACCACAAAGGCTACCTGGTGAACGCCAGTTCTCATTAGATCTTGAGTAACTTCTCCACTGCTTGGAGCCTGACTGCACCTGGATCATTTACTTCCCAAGGAGCATTTAGACTGAGTAAGCACGAGGGTCCAGGGAAGAAGCGAGCCTTGAGGGGGGCAGGGTCCCTATCTGAGGCTGGTTGCCTGTGATGGAACAAGCTGCTGCCTCTTCTCTATGGGGCTGTCTATGATTAGCCCCCATGTCGTTGAATGATGGGAGCTAAGACCATGAAACCTCTTCTTAGTTCCAAACCCCAGCCCAGCTTGACAGGCCAAGATACCAAGCTTGCCTTGAACTCTCTTCCAGAGCAAGTGAGACACTTACAAGTTTCCATCTTGACTTCCTAGAACACTGCCCAGGGCTCACCAAGAGCCACTGGGTTCACCTCCTAATTTCGAGAATGCCCAGGCCTTAAATAAGAGGCCACAGTCTCAAGTCAATCCACTTGGTCATCACTCAGGATACATCTGGTTTAGGATGCAGATGTGACAGTTAGAGAGTCAAAGCCCCAAATCCACTTCTTTGCTCTGATACATGTGGCTGTGGGAACTTGTGAGAGCTTTGTGGATTCCCTGTGCCTCAGTTTCCTCATCTGTTAATGTGGATAATAAAGATGCCACCTTATTGTGCTGTGATGAAGCATGCACAGCTCAGTCCTTCGCACAGTGCAAATGCTCAGGGGACATCGGCCATATTTATGTGGCAGATGCCCAGTCTCACAGGAGCCTTAGGAAAGCTCTGGCCCAGGAGCTCTGACTGCCAATGTCAAGGGAAAGCCAGAGAGGTATGTGCAATACACTCATCTGGGCACATACCCAGGAGGGAGGAAGAGATGTCCTAGTCAGGTTCAGACTGTGGGAGAAGATAAGGGAGCAACTCCATGCCTAACAGGGGTGACTTTTTCACAAAATCAACATGGCTGTTATCTGAGGGACGGACAGAGAACATTGACTACTGTTGCAAGGAGACCTGATAACTCCACATCACATAGCCACTTGGCATATCATTCATGAGACGTTTGCAGATTACAGGAGAGGGAAACATTAGAAGAAGCTTGCTTTGCCCTGAGGGTAAGAGCAGAGAGGGCACTCGAGAGAGGCTAGGAGACCTGGGAGCTGAGATCCTGGAGAAGAGGACAGACTGTGGAACAAAGCCAAACCTCCCACCAGCTCTAGAACACAAGCTTCTTGGGGACCTCCCAGGGAAACTCGCTTCTCCCGAAATGGCCGTAGCACGCGGTCTTCTGGTAGATGGGCCTTTTCAGGTCCAAGTCCCTGCAGTCAGGGGAGGTAAGAGTCATTTTTAAGTGGGGAAAAAGTAGGCTCTAGGGGTTGTCCTAGGAGATCTTTCCCACCCAACACCTGCACCCTATGCACCACAGCCCTGTCCTACCCAGGTTAAGAAGTAAAGACTCCAAGATCACAGACAGCTGAGCATGAGCAGCCCACACCACCCAGGGTAACTTTCTACTGCCTGGTTTTGCCTAGGCCAGTGCTCTCACAGCCAAGCACAGGAAAATAACAATGCCATGAGAGCCTGTAGGAATGGACTTGCCTACTAGATTCCTAGCCATCTGGCCTGAGATGCCCAAGCTGCTCAAGGTCAGCCACACCAGGGATAGTATCTGCAGGACTTCCTTCAGCTGAAACCCAGACACCCCGAGTTGGGGTCATGGACTTTGCTACGGGGCCAGGTACTCTGCTAAAGGGCCAGGACTTTAGACCCTCCTGTTGTAAGAGACTTCTGAGCCCTTTGTGTCCACCTGGGTGTTGGAGTGGTGGATTCCATGCAACAAGCAGCTGAAAGCGCCTTTTACCTAACAATAACACCGGGACGGAGGTCGAAGTTCTTGTTCACCACCTCGAGCAGCTCCCGCTCAGTCTTCTTCGAGGTCCCGTAGGTGAAGATGGAAATGGACAGCGGTTCTGCCACACCAATGGCATAGGACACCTTCCAGAAAGATCTGGCTCAGTGACTGAGGCCCTCAGAGAGATTTCGCAGAGCAGAGCAGCAAGGATCACACTAACAGGACGCCTATCACTCCTGCCTGGCAGCCCTTCTGGCTTTAGGTGAGCTCTCTCCTTCCCGAGTTTGCCAGCCATAGTGGCCAATGCCATATATGAAGAGTTGCAACCAATGGCAAAGAGACGGGTTTCCCACTGAGCCATTATCTCCTAACTCCAGGCTGGACTGGGGTCTTTGGCAAGGACAGGAAGGAAGGATCAGAGTGAATGGGGGCAACCTACCTGAACAAGAACTCTCCGGCAGAGGCCAGCCTTCACCAGGGACTTGGCCACCCAGCGGGCAGCATAAGCTGCTGAGCGGTCCACCTTGGTGTAGTCCTTTCCTGAGAAGGCACCACCACCATGAGCACCCCAGCCTCCATATGTGTCCACAATAATCTTGCGGCCTGTGACACCTGCGTCCCCCTGCAGAGGGAAACAAACGGAAAGAGGATGAGAACCCGTGACCCTGAATGCTGGATGGGGCAGAAGCGCCCTAAGAGGGTGCCCTGAGTCACCTGGGGGAATTCCCAAGGGCCCCTTTTAATCAGGCAAAAACCCCAAGCTCTTGCCCAGGTCCTGGCACTGACTAGCTATGAAAATCAGGGAACCCGTCAAAGCCTCAGTAGAAAGTGCCTGAGACAGGCCAGAGGTCATCTGGGGTCATGCCTTTGCTTTTGAATTCATCCTAAGAAGCAGTCCACCTGGTGGCAGGAATTGTTCTGCAATAAATACAATCTGGGGCTGGGGTTGTGGCCAGTGCCACATTGCTCGCTTCACAAGCGTGCGCTGTGTAGCAGCACTTCAGGAAATGACCTTGATGGGGTTACATTTAACAAGCTGGTGAAAATCCAGTTACTCCAATCCTATTCAGAGATCCACCCTTCACACTCACGTATCTCAAGACTTCCTTCAAGAAAACAAGAGATGTAACCTTCTTTCTGCCCAGCGCCAACACTGTTTGATCACAGAACCTATGCTGGGCACTCAGCCTTGTAACAACAACCTCAGCTCTGCCAAGCCCTACCTCCCCAGTTCTGTGTGCATATAGGAGAAAAGGCAACCATTCTGTCAGCTTTTATAAAACTCTAGCCCTGCTGTTCTGCCTGTAATAGCTGGAGACCGCCATAGCTCATATTCAGCAAGTGCTGCCTGGGAAGGTCAGCCATGAACAAGCACTAAGGAGAGGTTTCTGCATATTAACAGATATACAGAGTGTCTTTAACGCAGGCCAGCGTTCACTGAGCACACTGAGTTCATGGGCCGACACTGCTATGCCACTCAAAATGACCTCTTGTCATCAGTGCATTCGGAGACACAAGCAGCTTAACCACCAATATCCAGCCACAGGCCCTCACCCAGAGACAAATGCTCACCTGGGGACCTCCAATGACGAACCGCCCACTTGGCTGCAGGTGGTAGATGGTGTCTTCATCCAGGTACTTGTCAGGCACTACAGCTTTGATGACCTGTTCCTTCAGGGCCTGTTGCATGGCCTCCAGCGTTATTTCTTCATTGTGTTGCACAGAGATGACGATGGTATGGATGCGCACAGGGATGACGGCACCATTATCCTGCCTGTACTGAACTGTTACCTGTCCGTCAGGGAAGATACTGTGAGGCCCACCAGGCCTAAGCTAAGACCGCATAGTTGTCAGGCACAGATTCCCAGGAGGCAGGCTGACCTCGTGAGCGACCAAGTGAGTGCCCTTGTCCTCAAAGGCTCTTTGAAGAGTTAATATGGCAAGTGCTTACATTTGTTGATTTGTCCAATACCACAGAGGACAGCATAAGGCACACACATGTGGCACTGTCTTTCAACTGCTGACCAGATCTTCTCCTTCTGTCCCAGAGACAGCTAGTGCCAATCACCCTCTCTAGCCAAAACCCTCCTGGCACTTCCCACAGACTTCCCCCACTTCCATGAGTGAACACAGGAATTCTCAGGCCACCTGTCATTGGCAGAGACAAGGGTACCTTGGTCGTAGACTAGGAAAGACCAAGAAGGATCTTTTACCAAGGCTATACTTGTCATATGCTGAGTTTCTGAGACAGAGAAGAGGAGCCTGGCAAGGGCCCTCTACCCTCAGTGAAGGATCCTGGAAGTGCACTAGGACCAGGAAACTGCCAGCTATAGGGACAGGATGAAAGAGTCTCTAGTTAGGACACTTTAGCTAGAAGGGATACAAGCTCTAAATCCCCATTTTCTTGGTGCTTTCCCAAAAGAAGGTGAAATGGTGTCCACTTGGGTGGGGTCGGGATCCTGCTTACAGGGTCCTGGCAGGGGAAGCCATGGAAACCCCTCAAACATTCACCTCCACCGTGTCTAGATCTAAGACATCACAGTGAAGAGGTGTTAGTACCCCCCCACGCTTCACAAATGAGATAAACTAAGATCAGAACTTGCCTGACATCACACAGGCAATTTGTGAAATGCCCAAGAGCCAAACGTTGCAGAGTTTATACCAAAGCTTGTCATTCCCACTGTAGCATAGACAAAATGTCCTCTAGAGACCCCATGCTCTAACGACATGTCACTGGGCCCAGACACCTGATACATTTTAGGTGGCAAGGAAAATCTGGTAGGACCCCCTGGGTTTGCAGAGAGGAAAGATTGGTGCGAGGCAGGTTGGGAGTAGCAGATGAGAATGGTAGGATGGTTAAGAAAGCAGCAATGGGTGAACAAGCTTTGAATACTAGAAGACAAGCCAAAGATTGGTGGTCATTGTTGCCCGATTCTGTAGACAACAAAGCTTGGGTTCCAGAAGGCAAACACCTTGATCAAGATGACACATAAGATGGCTGAAGTGTGACCTGGGGATATATAGCCAGGGCTCTCTCTAGCAGATAGTTGCTACTTACAGCCATGAACCATATGCTGGGCTACAGGTTCCATGCTGCCTGAGACAATATGTACCCATCAGAGCAGTATCTATAGAGCTTGGGGGCATGTGATGCTTGCAGAAGTGTGCCTAGGTCAAATACTGACATAGGAGTCTGGCTGAGTGACTGACAGGCATAGAATAGTTTTCCATCCTAGGGCCCAGTTAGGACCCTGCAGCAAGCATTGCCTTGTTGGGGCTCTGCTGCAATAAGGTCTCTGCCTGCCCAAGGTGCCTTAGGCAGCCATCCAAAAATACCTGTCACTTTTCACTCTTTGGGCTAAGATCAAGTATAGCCAGTGGGATACATATCAGACTTCTACTCTGTGTCCTGCTGGTCCAAAACAGCAACAGAGTGAGATCTAGGGGGAGTGAGGAAAAACTGGACACCGCCATCTGACCCTAGTGAGATGGGTAAGTGCATAATCATTGAGGTGTCACGCTTAAACCCCGCACTACCAACACGTGGGAATTATCCACATGAAGGTCTCCACAACAGGGAGCTAGAGTGGGGGAATGTGGATTCCCAAGGTGGAGACAGGGGCAAGCTCTAGGACCAGAGTTATCGCATGTAGCCTTGGCTGTTTTCAACTGAGCCCCAATGGCTCCATCCCTACTAGGCAAATACTACCGCTGCATCCTTGCAGAACTCCTGGAACGGGGTGGCAGAGCGAAGAGCTTGAGCTCTGCTCTTATCTCGCCATGTCAGCAGATATGGGGAAAAATACACTATGGAAAACGGAGCTCTGACCTGGTACAAAAATAGCCACTGGACTGCCACCCTGATTCTCAATATCAGCAGCAGCAATTTGTTCAGGTGGAAAAACTCATCCTGGCCTCAGTCAACACAGGTGACAGTGGAAATCCTTTACAAAGTGACTGTAGAGGGGGAGGCTGTTGCCTTCTTCCTACCCCTGCTCTGCGGTTGTCTTTTCTGTAGAGCTCCACATTTTTGGAGCACTTTGTTTTGGTAGCAGCACAATGTACATGTTAGCTGTCCTGTTCCATAGCTTCCAACAATGCCTGAGAGACGCTGGTGACCCAATCTCCACCTTGAAAGTCACATGAATAGCACAGGAAGCCCCAAGAAAGCATTCTATTGGTGCCGCACACTCACTTGCCTAAAGTAGAGCCATGTGAGACTTCTGCTCAGTGTGACCCACCTCACCACGAAGATGCATCTGGGTGGTTGGAGTAACTAGACACAGACACATGTACCACACTGGGTCATAAAAGCTTGTATACCAATTACAAGTGCAGGGGAGGGGAAGACTGTCTAGTGGGGGGGTGTCAGGCGTGGCATTCACAAGCATATGGAGTGCGAGCCCTGTAATCCAAGGATAACCCGAGTGGGATGATCTCAGCAAAGTGGAGGCTGCGAGAAGGGTCCCGATGGAGGAAAGTTATAGTGGGAATACCATAAAGGTCTGAATGCCAGAATAACAAATGGATCCTGCCCTCCTCGCACAGGAAGTCGAAACTTAGCAGAGAATTCCGAAGAGACGGCGAAGAGGAAAATTTAACTGTAGTTCTTACACTTGGAGGACCTTTTGGAAGCATGGAGTGTCGTTGCTGACTTGGGTGGAAAAGGGACCACCCCAGGAAAGGCTGGGCTGCAGGGAGAGGAACGTTCATCTAAGGAAACATGGGATACCAGTACCATGGAGATGGATGGCACCAAGCAGGACTGGGGAACACGTTGTTCAGTCCTCAGCCGAGTAAAAGGTGACAGTGAGCAGCATGTGGCGGGCTCTCAGCACACGAGCTTGTAAGCAATGTGGCTGCTGTCTTAGAGGGACCACAATGGAAAACTTATGACCCAAGCGTGTGTGAAAATAGGGAGAAAACATGTGAGGGGAGATGTGCCACGACCTTGGGGCATCAAACTTTGGAACGTGGAAAGGGAGCCAGGGCAGGCAGCCATTGGCCAAGGCCATCAGGAGAGTGTGGAGTGATACAGGAGCTCCGTGTGTGCTCACACGTTTACATCATCATTGTCCTTCAAATAGAAATACATTTCAACACGGTGTGGAGGAGGGAGGTCAGGGCCCCCGGGGCTGGAACCGGACACGTCAAGGGGTAAAAACAAAGAAAGGGGACGCAGAGAGACAGTCTGCTCAAGATGGGGAGACAAGACCCGTGTGCACGCAAGCACAGGGTCTACCATGTCTGAAACTGTTGAAGAAGTAAGTCTGTGGCAGGAGTTGAATTATCATCAGAGTCTATATATGCTAAAAAATAAAAATAGAAAACTCTATTTTAAACATCTGGTTTTTAAAATATTTTTATAATAAATTTTGATGAGGGTAAGCATGGGAAGTATATTTATCCTGAGCTTTCAAATCGTGATTCTTTTCAAAATGGAGTACCTAAATAGAATATTTTCATCTTGAAAATAGTGTGACTGAGGTGTAATCAACTTTCTAATTAGATTTGAGGCTCCCTCCACAGGAGAAAATTCATGCCTAGTACTGAAACGTAGTCAAAAGTCCATGGCTGTGGAGAACACAGGCCTGAGTGAGGAGCCTACGACTGTTGCTTTACGAAGTAGACATAATGCCAAGCTATGTTCTGAATACTTTCTATTTGGATTTATATTCTTAAACTTCTGATGTATCAGCCTTGGTTGGAGAAGAGCCTGTCTGCAATAGGTGATGGCAATGCAAACCATAACTGGTCCAAGTGCTGAGAATAAGTCTTTATTGAGTGCTTATCCCTGGATGGATATGAGTGCCTACCTCTGGATGGAATGTCTCTATCAGGGAACAAGGTGGAAGAGGGGACAGAAAGAATGCAAGAAGAACCAGAAGATGGTAAGGAGAGCTGGGAAATGTTCTTTTCTGGATATGACATGGCACTGTACCCATGAATCCACAGCAGCTTTGGCTATCTGCATGATATCTGCACAAGGCTAGGCCTATCAACATTGCATTATGGATAGGAAATGGGTTCATAATACCCACCCTCCCTGAGGAGCTTTAGGTAATAAATGGTAAAGTTACCTTTATTCAAGTAAGTTACTCCCTACTCAGTCTCCCGCAAGCAACTGTAGTCAAGTGCAGTGGGTATACACACAAATAAAGTCATAACAGTGGGAGGGAGGACTTGGTAGAAAAAGAAGGGACTTAATGTAAGTGGGAGGAAGAAAAGGGAGGATAGCAGGGCATATAATCAAGCACATTGTGTGTGTGTGTGTGTGTGTGTGTGTGTGTGTGTGTGTGTGTGTGTTTGTTGTGAAATCATAAAGGAATGAATTAAAAAATAAAATAAATATGGCCAGAACTAAAATGATTTGGTGTACTTGAAGTTCCTGTAGGAAGATCTGCAGGAGGTGTTGAATGCAACTCACCTGAGTTTTAGAATCAGGTCTCAGCCAGGGAAGGACACCAGAGCGCCTTAGATCTGCCATCCGGGTGTTAAGTTTGTGAGCAAGAACAATGGTGAGAGGCATGCATTCTTCTGTCTCATCTGTGGCATAGCCGAACATCAGTCCCTGGAGTAGGACACCTGCCTTAGAGCTCAGAGCAGTAACATTCTCCAAATCTCATATTTTGTTTGGCGCTTCAACAGCTATGGGGGGTACCCCCTATAGAACAATGTGCACTGGGCACTTTAGAAAGGAAAGATATTGCCTCTGACTCCCAACAATCTGGAAAGAGGAGACAAGCCTACATCTGTCATTAGCAAGCACAGCCTTCTCCTGCACAGCCTGACAGTGCTGCCAGGCAGCAAAGCCGTGCTCAGATTACTGCAGGTGTGATCCTTCCCAGATCTCTAGAGTGATGAGACCACCCAACAGTGGAATTAACCCAACCGGCTTCTCCTCATGTATCATGGTTCAGTTGAAACAAACCACACTGGCCCAGCCCTCACACTTGACATACCTGATCTCCTGCACCAACATCCTCTTCATTTCTATCTAGGTGGACACATTGGGCAATATCTGGGGACTGTTGCTCCAGAGCCACTAGCACATTGCAGGTCTTGAAGTCGAAGCCTGGGCAGAAGCAAGCCGAGTGGAGACATGTGTCAAGACAGGACTACAAGTTTCTTGGTGGACTTCTCAATCTCTGTTGTGGCATTTATTGTTAGGGGAGGTAACCTCTGGTTCACAGCTGAGGCCCAGGATGTTGAAAGACCTTACATTTTCTTCCATGGTCATGTAGAACTCTTTCAAAAGAGAAGATTCTCCATGACACATTTTACTGGATTCAATTTATACTTTGGTTAAAAAAGTATACCCTACAGAGAAATGTGACAACCCACCACAACAACACAAACCAGACAGGACCAAGGACACTCTGACAAGTAGGTGAACAACTTATAGCCTTGCTTCCCTAAGTTTCCCAGAAGAACCCTCCAGAATCCTATTTGAAAATCATGGCACTAACAAGACATGGTGGTGCTTTTTTATAATCCCAGCACCTCTAAAGTGAAGACAGGAGGCCATCTTGCTTGCACATGGAGTTTTAGGCAAGTCTGGGTTATATTAAACCCTGTCTGAGAGAGAGGAAAGGAGAAGAAGAAAGAGATGGAGGGATGGAGGGACTAAGGAATAGAGGAAGGTGAGAGAGAGGGAAATAGAGACTATCCCTTCACTAATTGAAAATCAAGAGTCTTTTCAATGTTTCCATTTAGAAGCGCAACTATATGCCTTATCCATATGTATGTGTATATGTATGTACGTATGTGTATTTGCTATATACACTCATCCTGAATAACAAGCACCACGTATGTGAACCATCTTCCTAGAGTTGGGGTCCTATAACAAATAAAAAAGCCCAAGATCTAACTCTAATACATAAACTGACTTTGTGGAGCCCATTCTATATGGAGAGATATCTTGCTCAGGCTAGGCATTGGGGGAGGGCTTGGTCCTGCCTCAATGAGCTGATGGGACAAACTTAGACTTCCTAGAGGAGGCCTTACCCTCTCCAAGGAGCCGATGAAAGCTGGGTTAGGGAAAAGTGGGGGAAGCAAGAGGAGAGGAGGGTGGGGGAACTGGGATTGGAATGTAAAAAATAAATTAAGAAAATAGAAATTAAACCTCTGGGGCCCAGGTTCCTTCTTCAAAGCTGCAGTACAGAGTTGGGGGTACACCTCTAGTATTCTGAGTGCTAACTCAAGGAAGCCTCACTAACAGCAACCCCTGTCATGGGGCCAGAACTCTTTTAGACAACAAATTTAGGACTAGCCTTAAACATTATGTACTTTTCCACCTGGCCTAGGTACCTCTGGATGGAATGGTGCTCCTCTGGCTCCTCCCCACACACCCAAGCTTGACCAGCTCCTAGTTAGTTTCCCCGGACATTTCACTCATGCAATTCGACCCCCTTATTGCATAAGATGAAAACAGATTCGCATAGAACACCTCACACTGGGTCATCTGAGGCCCGGAAGCCCCTCTTTGCCTTTGCCCTTTTCCTCCCCTGCTCCCCCACCCCCCAGCGGATGTTTTTCTTGTAGAAATCAATGGATGGTCTTTAGAGAGGTGCCAAAGAGCTCTTCTCTGCTTTCTAAGACTTTTTCCCTTTGCCTAATCGAGTCTAAATAATGCATCTTCTTAGTGCTAACCAAGTACAATGCAGCCAGAATTGGGCTCTTTCACTTAGCCCTTTCTAAAGAACATGCAAATTTTCTTTGTTATCTAATGCAAGGTTTGGTCTTGAATAAGGCCTAGATGTGAATAAATAAATGGATGTCTTAGGGTATAATGGGGAAAGGCTATTCGTGATAACATCTCAAGATGCTGTTCTCTTCTACATTAAGTCTCTTCTATGAAGCCCTCACTTCTTAAACGGTGAAATTAACTTGCATGCACTCTTTCTCTTCCCAGTCACTCTAAAACACTCCCAACCTCCAAGAAGTGGGCTTTCTTGCTATTGCTCAAGGTCAATATGTCTCTTACAGTGACCTCCGGGAATTGAGAGAGGGCCAACAGAGACTCAAGGGAATTTTTCTTTAAATAAGTACATCTGAAAAAAAAACAGCAATTACATGAATATCTACTGCTAGAGGCTATAGTGGAACCTTTAAGAAGTCAGGTCAAAGATTCTAGAGATCCTCTATGGAGGGCTTCACCCTCCCTAGGGATCGGAGTGGAGTTTGGGTAGGGAACTGGGGGGCTTAGTAGGGAGAGTAGAGGAGGGACGGAGGGAGGGAGCTGGGATTGACATGTGAAACAAGCTTGCTTCTAACTTAAATTTAAAAAAAAAAAAGGAAGAAAGAAAAAAAAGGAAGTCAGGTGAGACTCCTATACAGGAAGCTAGGGTAGATAAAGGGCACTGGAAATACTACCAAAACGTCTTTGCAAACAGGTGCTCATGCCCTGAGTCTTCTGATGCAGTCTTGGGCTGGGTGGTTTCCTAACCTGCCTGAGGAATTAAGCAGGGCATCTGCTGTGAAACCCTCAGCTCTGCTCGCATCACCTGGTGCTTCCCAGTCCCCTCACCTCCTTGCCTGGCCTGTACCTCTCTTCCCTGGGTCTCAACTCCAGCAGCACCTGGAATTGGTACTAACCTGCGTTTCCCTGTCTCCTTCACCTGTGATCAGGCCCAGGTGCTTGAAAATGAGGCCTCATTCTCTGCATCTATAGCAAGATGCACTGTAGCTCAGTGGATAGTACAGGAGCCCCTGCCCTGGTGGCATCTCACTGTATTCATGCTCTAAGGCCCCTCATTTACATAAGAAACACACCAGGTGCTCTGGAATGATGAAGTCAGATAACATCTATGGACACTGGCATCAGTGCTCATAATACATGTTGTCACTAGAGGGCAGCTCCCTTTATTAGGAGCTCCATTCGAAGTTTCTGGCAGGACCAGGAAAGCCTGACTTTAAATGAGACTTGTCAATCGTGGACGGGTACACGCTGGCCCCACCAGCTGCAGTCCTTCACAGAACAAGATGAGTGATGGGCTGTTTGCCCTCCTGACTGAATTTGTATTTCTATAAAACTCAAGGATTAGATTTGACTTCATATGGGACACAGACGCACTCAGTAGACACCTACTTGCACACAGACACAGCAAGCCCATCCTCACCCTTGGCAGAGTCGTCATAGCCGATGTGTTTGATGGTGTCTCTCACCACCCGCTGGTAATCGACCATGGCCACTGAGGTGATCTCCCCACACAGCAGCACCATACCTGTCTTGCACACCGTCTCTGGAAGGGAAGGAGGGCAGGTAACAGTCTTGGGCCAGCAGACAGAAGGTCAAGGGTATAGCCCTCTCAAGATGGAGATAAAAAGACTTATTGGGGGCTTGATGAGTACTTTCTAAGAAAGAATAACAGTGCCAACAAAAAGAGCAACTCCAGCACTAACCACTGAGCAACTTCAAGGGCTGTCAGAGAGTGAAGCTTTGGGAAGAGTGAATTATCTTTGAGTTTTGTGCAAACGTATTTACTGCTTCTGTTATCTTGGACAACCTACTTAATCTGTCTCAAGCAATATAGCTTCCACAATGAGCATGATGAATGCATCACACACACACACACACACACACACACACACACACACACACACACACACACACACGCTGACAGAACGCTGCTATAATGAGTGGGTTCATGGTCCAAGGATCAAGACAAACCAATTTTCTCAAAAGGAACTTTTCTTTAAAAACTGGTATTGCATGAATATCTACTGCCAGAGGCTCTCATGGAATCTTTAAGAACTGAATCAAGAACCCTAGCTAAGAAGCTAGTGTGGATATGCACTTTTAGAAAGTGCTATCATTTGATCTAAGGCTATCAGTGTGATATCTACCCTCTGAGTGCATGGGGATCTGATGTACATAACATAGGCTGAGATAACTCTAGAGAAGGAAGGAAGGAAGGTCTGTGCAGAGGAATGGACATAGCATGGACACTGACAGTGAATTCTGGTCTCCACACCAGGGCTTCCAAACCCATAAGCTATTGCAAAGGTCCTAGTGCAGCCACCACTGTAGCTCCATTAATAAGGTCAGAAGTTGGACCTGGCTCGTCCAAGCTCTGGAGTTGAGGGCTGTGGGGTGTGTCAAGGCCTTCTATCAGGCGAAGATTTGATGTTGGAGAATTTATCCCATGAACAACAGTAAAGGTGTTTTGCCTACATGGAGCTCCAGGAAACATTGGAGGACATGGGTATGAACAAGAGCCTCAGTGCTTTATTTAACAATGATAACTCTCTGGAAATCTGTTGGTTTGGTTATGGACAGTTGATGGAACTACTGTTATTGGTTGCTGGTAATGGGATGCATAAATTATTTTAACATCTGGGACATACCACATGCTAGGGAAGAAAATCAGAGGAGGATCTAGGCATATGGAGCCATCAAAATTATCTTCTCGACAGCCTCAATCATTTCAAGCCCTTCACTTCCTCTGGAAGATCATCTGATAACTTTGAAAGGCTCCCTAGCTCCTAATGAAACCTGTGTTGGGGAGGCCATGTTCCTACCCAGCCCTCTGCTAGTTATGGTAGTGATGACATCTAATACCAAATTCTAGTTGATTCTGTTTCATGGTTAGAAATGTTTTTCCTCCCTAATACAACACAGGAAGGCCACTTGAAATCTCCTGCAGACAGGAGGACATTGACTTTGGACCTGATGAGTATGAATCTACGGTCATATGTCCACCATGAACTTCTCTACCCAATGCTCTCAACTCTCCAGAAAAAAGGGTGCTTGTCTCTTACCACAGGCCACCTTGGCATTGGGGTCTTGCTTGAGATGGGCATCCAGCACTGCATCACTAATCTGGTCACAGATCTTATCTGAACAAGAACAAACACTAAGTGTAACAGATTGCATCACTGTTAAGTATGGCAAAGTTAAATGCTAAAATAATTTGACATTTTCTCAGTATGTCTATCAAATCTACCTAACAAAGATAAATGTGATATTTTCTCAAATATAAGAAATGAGATACATCTTATCTGATGAGTCCTTGTAGATTTTGAAGTCTTTACTTATTCTCTGACACTTTTGTATGTGTATATAATTCTATCTTGATAATACCCTCTCTCATGCCCCTCCAATCCCTCTGAGTCTTTTCTTGGGTTCCCCCTCTACTTTGCTGTTTTGTTGGGTGACCCACCATATTTTTCTGGGGTTTCTTGCATGAGCATGAGTGTGGATGTACTGAAAGAAACCAAACTTGGCTGATTTGCCAGTGGCTGGGATACAGAAGGAAAATGATGTTTCCTCCCTTAGCTGCTATTAACTGCCAATATAATAGCTCCTTGGGTAGGAATGAGGCCTCATGAGCTCCAGAAATGAAGAATATTTTTAACTCTTCTTCTATTCCATACATCATTTTGGATGACATACATTACACAAAATCATAGAATTCCTTAAAAGGAAAATACATTTCAAAACCAGCTATAAGAGTCTAAGTAATTTGCCAGATGGTAGTGGCACATGCTTTTTATCCAGGAACTTGGAAGGCAGGCAGATCTCAGTGAGTTTGAGGCCAGCCTGATCTACAAAATGAGTTCTAGGATAGCCATGGCTGTCACACAGAGAAACCCTGTCTTAAACACCCCCCAAAAAGGAGTCTAAGTAATTCATGATTACATTATAATAAAAAGTCTTTGATTTTCCAAATATATTCCTTATTTTTAACATCTATAAAAGCTATGGCTATAGTCTAAAGTCCTTCATAACATCAGTAATATTAGGTACTGAGTGGACCAGACAAATACCTTACTGAAGGTTCCATAGATACAATCAATAAGATACAAAACACAACCCCAGGTAGATGATGCCATCATGAAAACACCACAAGGGACCCCTCATGCACCACTGTTGTTCAACAGAACATTGAAATAAGCTCTGAGATCCTCCCTCTTGTCACTCAGCCTCCTGTAAGTCAGATGTCCTGATAGTTGGGCTAAGATGGGACTGACAGAGATGCAGCAGGAGCTGAGAACTGACGTTATTCTGTTGTTTTCCTTAAAGGACTCACATGGTCTAACATGTAGAGCACCAAGTGACAGTGTGCACAAATTCACTCCTGCTTTCCAGTGTGTCTACTAACAAATTAAGAGATAAAAGAGAGACCTATTTAATGAATAGTCTTTCCACTCATGTTCAAAATGCCCAGAGTCTGTTCTTTAAGAGTGCTTTTGAAAAGATTTATTTTAATTGTGTATATGCACGTGTGTAATCTGTTGGGAGAATGTGTACATGTGAGCACAGATGCCCATGGAATCTCGAAGAGGATGTTGGGTCCCCTGAAGCTGGAATGGACCAGTCTTCTACCGAAGCAGTAAGTGCTCTTACCACAGAGCATCTATCCTGCTCCAAGACATAATCTTTGAGAATTCAGATCTTAAGTCAAGAAGTTTAGCTCTCAAAAGCAGATACTAAGATACTGATTATTCTGCCATTAAAGACAAACTTGCTAATCTTTCCTTCAGAAACAGCCACGAAACACATGGTGGATTGTTCTATCCATCCTCCTGTCAGTGGTAGATGCTGGTTTTAAATCCAGGTGCATGTGAATACATAGCTTCTGCCACTCACATCAATAAGGTGAATCTCTGTGAGTTTGAAGCCAGCCTTGTCTACAGAGTGAGTTCCATGACAGCCAGGGCCGTTATACAGAGAAACTCTGTCTTAAAAATCAAAAAGAAAAAAATCTTTGCTGCTTACTAGCTGGAATTTTGTTACTGTCATAAGCTGCAATGTAAATATCTGTGTTTTGCAATGGTCTTAGGTGACCCCTGTGAAAGAGTCACTTGACATGACCCACAGGTTGACAATCACTATTCCTTAGGACGTTTATACTTATGTCAGAAAGTGTCTCTGAGATCCTTGCCATCTGGAGCTCTGTCTCAACACCATTAGAATTCAGGGCTGTTCCTTCCTAATCTGTGCATTGTTTATGTGCAGAACTTGCTCCTGCTTGAGGACCATTCTCCATTGACTTTAATAGGTGACTTTAATAGGTCACTGGTAATATATGAAAGCTTTAATTCAAAAACACATTTAATTTAGTTCTGTTAATACCCATAGTATATAGCAACCAACCTTTGTTGCTCAGATGCTGAGTGGCAGCATCACCGGCCTAGGCTTCAAGATAGGTGACAGCTTTCCAACTAGCTCACACTCTTTCTGGAGAGAGTTTTTACAACAACTGATGAACATTGTTTTTAAGGTATCTAGTAAAAGCGACTTCCTAGGCATAAGCTGTGAATAGCAGGCTTGCCTCTGAGCTCAGGACAAACTACTTACCTGGATGCCCCTCTCCTACAGACTCTGATGTAAACATGAAGACTCCTTCTTCATTTAGAGAATGGTCACACAAGCCATCCACGGGTCCATTCATTGTGTCACAGTTCTCAACTTCACTTTTCCAAGGTGACAACTTCAGTGCTTCTTTTATTCTTTTTTCTGTTTTCCTCCCTCTACAAAACCACAGGGATGACTTCTGCCCAAGTGCCTATGAGCACGTGAGAAGAGGGTAAGGATGAGTAAAGAGGAAGAGAGTGGATGGAATACAGATGTGTCGCTCCCTTCGGCTGGACACAGTTTGCTCCCGGGTGACTCCTATATATGGAAAAGTGAAAGTGCCTGAATAAGCATGTAAGGACATTGGAGGAGTCCATTTCCTGGGAGGGGAGTCTTCTTACCTTGAGGAATTTCAGCCTTCAGTTCCAAAGTCTCAAATGGGAAGCCTGTGGTCCACAAGTCATGAAGAAAGACTGTAGACTCTCAGACAGGAAGTGCTTCTCAAACTTCCTTCAGCTCCCTTCCTGATCTCTGAGTGGTTCCAGGGTTTTAACATCTCACTCTGGAGAGTTGGGGGCCTGGAGTTGCTCACTGGGACATACAGGCAGCTAGAAACTCTCCCAGGGATTTGGTATGGGCTAGGTTGCAACACCGTGGGACTCTGCCGTGAACCCTCCTCCTCCCCCACACCTGATCTGGATTGGGCTCACCCCCTCTGCCTCCTCAGGGCAAAGCAAGAGCCAAGAGCATGCACCTGTACTCTGAACCAGCTGTAGCGTTACACAACAGGTCCGTTTTAGTTAGAGGAAAAGCTTTAGAGCCTGCGTTTTTTTCTGCCACAAGAAATCACCTAAACTGTCAATGTCCCTAAGAGACCTGCAAACAAATTAGCTGGCAAGGTGTTTGGTGGTGGTGGTGGTGGGTGATCCAGGCAACAAAGATCATTACTTCTTAATAACGCAATTTTGAGAAACAGATCCGTTATGTGGAAATTGGTATTCAGGTTTGGTATCCCCCAACATGATAAACTCCCATGTATTCAATTCTGTTCCTCTCATAAAGACCCTGTCCCTATAACTTCCTCATTCTTTTTGCTTTGACCAAGGAAGGGAGTAAGCAGGATTGAAAATATCATTAATTAGCTGTCCCATAAATGACAGTGTCTGTACCCAGCTTTTCTCCCATTCACGGACCTACAATCTTTGAGAAACAGAGAATTGAAATAACAAAGAATGAGGAGAAACCAGTTCCTTCTAAAATGCAATAAAAAGTAGCCAACCAAAACTTTGCTTGCAGGGTTGACTGTGGGAAGCACACGGTAAGAGGAAACAATGCAGTCTTAGTGACTAAAACCTCCTCCTCTGCACTTAGACATAGGCACTTAAAACATCTTTTTTCTGGCACAAATTCTAATGTTCGAAACCTTGAGGTTAGTTAGTGAACACAGTTGCTCTAGGGAATTAAAACTATATTAAATCGATATGGAATGCAAGGAGACAGCTTGTGTATACACAGCTATCAAAAGCACTAACAGAGAGAGCTAACTTGCTCGGGCACATGACTGCTAAAAGTTGGAAGTGAAACAGGCCACTAGGAAGGGACAAACAAATGACGGATCAGAGTGGGATTTTTGGATCAAATTGCTTTGTCATTGCAAGCACAGAACCTTCCTGTTTGTCCTTAAAATATTTCAACATCATTGTCTCTTTGTAAATTTCTTTTGGGTACATAAGTTTCAAGCCTAGACACAGCACAAGCTAATGTTTAATTTGGACTGTAGACCTAGGTTACCCTAGCAGCTAGATCTGTAATAATTATGGTATGAATTTGCTTCAAGAGTAACTTGAAGTCTAAATCAAGAATTCATCCAAGTTCTTAAATCCAACAAGAAGACAGAAAACAAAGCCAACTCTCCAAAACAAAGTTACTCTTCCAAAATGAGTAACAGCATCATGGGGCAGAGGATGCCAGTTAGAAGATGTCCTTTATAGAGAAGTAGAGCTCTCAGGCGTGTATGCAGGAGGTTTCTGAAGTCTGGACACCAATTCAGAATGAGGGAAGACTCTTGAAAGCAACTTATTCAGCCTGGGTCATGTGGGAGCTGCGTACAACATGGTCACTAAATACAAGAATGCCTCAAGTTCTTTCATAGGGTAAATGATAAGGAATCACAGAGTATGGCAGCTGCAAGTGCAGGCTTCTGGGCTGGAGTCTCAGTTGTTTTCCTAACATACTATGCGGATCAGAGTGGGCCTCCAGAGTTCTGCAGCAGGTAAAATAATTACCTGCTTTACAGAATTACCGAAAGAATGAGATTGGACCGTTTAAACACGATAAGTCTTTAGCATGCTGCTAGAAAGCAGGATGAAGTTATAAATATTAATAAATATAATTAAACAAACTATGCATGCATGTATAGTATTCCTCTGAACAAAAATAGAACACATGCACGCGCATATGTTTGAACACATACATCTATTTACATTTTGCTCTTTTCCATACCATATATATAGTCCTCTTTTCATATTTTACAAGCAGATAGATAATTCTTTTAGCAGCTGTGTTGTTTGTTTATGCTCTGGAACATCCATTCAATGATGCAAAGATGAGTTTCATTGAATAAAATTCACCTGCCGGCAGGAGGCTGAATCAGCGACTAGCTGACAGGTAGTTGTAGGGAGGAGGCAGGTGGAGAAGGCTTTAGAAGGAGGATGGAGAAAAATCTTGGGAGACAGGGAGAGGTGAACTAGGTGAGCTGCTTGCTCTTCAGTCTCTCTGGGAAGCAGGCTTCTACCTCAGTCTTTGAATCTTGAGTTCTTTAGTGGGACAGAGATTTAAATAAAGATTTCCTTAGTAGCTTTGAAAGAGTTGGTGCCTGAGGGAGCAGATTCCCTTCGGCTTCCTCTCTTGCAGCCTAGCTGCCGCTGGTGGCAGTGGAGTGGCAGTTGCTGAATAGGATAGCTGTAGCTTAAAAGGCAGCAACAACTTAAAAAATAGAAACAACAAATTGGTGCCCAACATGGGATCATGAGACACCATTTCACTGTGTGATGGGTTTTACTCTTCGGGGGGAGCCTGGCACTCATCTCCCAAACAAATCACACACATGGAGGCTTATTACTACTTATGAATGCCCAGCTTTTTCTTATCTTAAATTAACCCATCTACATTTTTCCTCTGGGCTTTTCTCTTTCTTTTGTATATCTTTCTTTCCTTTTTACTCTGTGGCTGTCTGGGTGGCTGTCCCCAATGTTGTCTTCTCCTTGTTCTTCTTTTGTTACTTGTTCCTTGTTTTTTCCTTCTTATATTCTCTCCTGCCAGTCCTGCCTATCCTTGTTCCTGTTTCACTATTGGCCATTCAGCTCCTTATTCGACCATTAGGTGTTTTAGACAGGCAAAGAACCACAGTTTCGCAAAATTAAACAAACGCAGCATAAACAAAAGTCATGCACCTTAAAATAATATTCTACCACATATCTGAACAGTATCCAACAGTAGGAATGTACTTTATATTATCTGGTCATTCATTCCCTGATGGTTAAGTATTTTTTATTTTCCCAATTATATTAACATCTCAACAATGCTATCACAAATACATTCATCATAATCATGTTTTGGTAAAATATAAAATAGAAATAGATGTATCTATTTACACCTATAAGTTGAAGCATTCAGGGGGCTGAGGCAGGAGGATTGTGGGTTGAAGGCCAGTTTGGGATTCATAGAAAGATAATGTTTCCAAAAAAAATCAAAGACAGGCTTTAACAATGCTGAATCAGCTAAAGATTTAATGTCATAATAAGTCTTATAGGTTAGATTAAATAAGCACCAACTACCCAACAATTAAAATAGCAGCTTCAGTCTACCCTCTACAGAAAGAAATAACAAATCTTGGCAGAGGTATAGTTACTCTAATAGGCAACCCCATGAAGACATCATAGCTCTGAATTGCCAACTAAATGTAAATTGAATCTGTCCTGGTCTCCCTTACACATGAATTATCCTCATGCTCTGCCCCCTCCACTGAAAACCTAAGTCCAACATGTAAAAGGCTCAAATTTGACCCCATTTTCATGTAGCAAACTTCAACTCAGAAACCCAACTGACAAATACTGGGAGAAACTTGTCTTATAGTTCTCAGAAGGAAGTTTACAGGTGCCCATATATAAGATGAAGCTGCTCTCAAATAAATAACTTAATGCCACAACTCAGGGTCTTAGAAAAACAGGATTTGCAGATGGAAATAAATCATAAGGAGCAAGGTAGAAATTAACAAAATAGAGATGAAAAGAATACTAGTCATCAATGACATTGTTAATTCTTTGTAAAGTTAAATAAGACAAACAACCAAATAAAGGGAAACGATACTCAAGTTAATAAAGTTTAAAACCAAAGGGGATGCTAAAGCAGGTAGATGCCACTGAATTCAAGAGGATACTTTGAAAACTCATGTTCCAATAAACTAGAAAATCTGGAAATGGTGAACAAATTCCTAGATGTGTACTGCCTACTGTGATGGTTAAGCTTGGCTGTGAACTCAATGGGATGTTCGGTGACCATAGCAAACTCTGAATATGTCTATGAGGAAGTTTCTTCACTAAGTTAATTAAGGAGGAGAAATTTCTCCCTAACTGTGGGTTGTACCATTCCATGTGCTGAAGTCCTGAACTAGATGAAAAGTAGAAGATAAAGGTGAGCTTCATACCATCATCCACTGCTTTTTGTTTCATGACTGCCAATGTAACCTAACCAGATACCTCAAGTTCTTGCTGCTATGTCTTCTCTGCCACGCTGGATTATTAGTTCTACCTGTGAGCCAATATAAACATTTCCTTCCTGAAGTTGCTGTTGCCAGGTAGTTTATCACAGAAACAGAGAAAACAACCAATGCAAAAAAAATTAGTACCAAGAGTGGGGTTATTGCTGTGATAAGTTTGGCTGTGTCGCTATAGGTCTTTGGAAAGCGCCTTCAAGAGGAATGTAGACAAGTTTAGAACTTCAAGCTAGAAAGTTAATAAGAAGACATTAATAGGCCACTGTAGTGGGAGTTTGAGAGACCAGAATACTAATGGATACAAGATCCTTGGAGGCTTATAAAGTCAAGGAATGTCCTGGAAACTGAACTGTAGGCCACTAATGTTACAGTATGGGAAAGACTCTGGCTGCATTCTGCCTGTGTCCTAAAAGCCTGAGTAAGGCTACAATAAAAATAAATAATAATAATGGATTACTTTGACATAGGAAATTTCAAGATAAGATATCATACTGGCTGTGTCATAATTACTGCTCATTGTGCTTATCCAGGTCTACAATGACAGATAATGTAGAGGAGAAAGAAAAAAATTAAAGAAAGAAAACCCAGCAGTTACCGATAAGGCAAGTTTGAAAATAGCTGTAATTGTTAAAGAGATTAGCACAACTAAGGCAAAACCCAGTGCACTACATTGCTACAACAGGATAGGGGAAAGGCTCCATGTTGTAAAAACAAAGATTCATTTGAAAGGAAAGAGCCTAAACTGAAAATGCCACTAAAGGCGTTTTCCTTGTGAAAAACAACTATCTGGGAAAGTGTTTTCCCGGAGTCAGAACACAGAGTCTCAAAGAGGCTGCTGCCACTGAAGTCCAAGGAGGCCAGGCTCCA